AATTGCGTATTAAGTAACTGTTTTTGGTACATGATAAATTTTTGAAAGCATGCAATAAGTTAATGGTTGATTCACAGTAAAAATTTATGATTAAGAATCTAGAAAATTAGGAAGCAGTAATCGTGATAGGAATTGTCCTATTATGAACTGTAGAATGTCTCAGTTTTTTTATTACAAAAATATGATGATGATAGATGGAAGTTGAATGGGAATGAGCTTTACGCCTCCAGCCCAAAAAAGAAATCAGAGGTCCTCGCAAGCTAGAACGACCCATCACTTCACGAAGCGGTACCAGAATATGTGACCACCATGCAGAATCGCAATGAGCAGATAAATCAGAAAGGGGAGAGAGGAAAAATGACGGCAATGGTATGAGCAGCATCACCCCAAACCTTAGTTCATCTATTAAGGACCTGTGACATTATATTCTAGATTTCAAAGAAAAAATAATCAAACAATTATAGACAAAGATTCAATTTGTAATATAGCTTCCATCAAACTCAAATTGGCAAAAATCCATGATCGATTTACAGATCCAACTACAGTATTAAAATTAGAGTCTTGATCCCTCACTGAATGTGGGGTTCGGCGACATGAAAAAGCATTCTTGTGCTTTGCACACAATATTTATCTAGGTTAATGAAAAGTCATAATTCCTCTTGTGTAATCTAATTAATGAGAAAATGGTTCATTCGCACTAAATTTCTAAACCACACGTCGATTTGGATAGGCCTGCCTCTACTTTTTTAACATAAGTCAGATCTAATACCTCTACTCTCCTAATCGGGTCATTGGAAGGCCGCCTTTTTATATGACCAAACCATCTAAGGCGACTCTCTCTAATCTTATCTTCTACCGGAGCTACTCCAACCTTTTTACGTATATGCTCAATTCTTATCCTATCTCTAAGGGTAAAGCCACTCATCCACCTGAGCATCCTCATCTCAGCCACACTTAACTTAGTATTATGCTTCTCTTTTAATGGCCAACATTCAGCACCATAAAGCATTGCAGGCCTCACTACCATCTTATAGAATTTTCCCTTAAGTTTGAGGGGTACTTTTCTATCACACAATAAGCCCGATGCATTCCTCCACTTCAACCATCCAACTTGAATTATGTTGATAATATCCCCATCAATTTCACTATCACTCTGAACAATAGATCCAAGATATCTAAAACGTGTACTCTTAATGACTTGATCGCCCAAAGTCACAATCCCCTCACTAGGTCTATTACTACTAAAATTACACTCAATATATTCCGTTTTAGATCTACTCAAGCGAAAACCTTTAGTCTATAAAGTTGACCTCCATAATTCAAGTTTATTTTCAACTCCCTCTCTAGTCTTATCAATAAGAAGAATATCATCAGCAAAAAGCATACACCAAGGTACATCCTCTTGCAAATGTCTAGAAAAGAAGGATAAACATCTCCTAATAAAAAATTTAAATGAAAGTCCACCATTAATTTTGAAAATAATATTATACATGGACTTATAGAGAGTAAAAGCTTAAAGTGGGGCTTTTCTATAAACAACTATAATAGTTCAAGCACCATGAACAAAAAAAAAAGAGTTATAAATTCTCCAGATCATCCTGGATTTGTATATTGTGTGGAAAGCCTCTAGAGAGAGGGGGTTCCAAAACGTCCTTTATCAAACAGTAAGTTAGTAATTTTTCAATAGATGGTATGCATTTTTTTAACTTCTTGAAATCTTTTTCTAAATCCCTTTGGGGAAAATAGTGGAGTGGAATCAGTATAGTAGATCATTCTAAATAATGAATTTAATGATTATTAGCCTTCTAAATAATGAAAGTAGAATTTGTTTTCAGCCCCCATAAATTGCTCAATTCTAAAAAAAAAGAAATTAGAGCAATCAATAGCTTTAGGCTTCGTTTGGGACGGCTTTTTTATTGCTTTCTAAAACGGAGTTTTAGTACAAATTTTTTTATTTTTGTACTAAAACTCCGTTTTAGAAAGCAATAAAAAAGCCGTCCCAAACGAAGCCTTAATTCTTTAAGAGATGATTATGGAGACAATATAATCCTAAGGTAGTTATTTAAGATTAAAGACAATGTATTAAAATAATCTTAACTCATCCTCCATAAGAGCATTTTTGAGGAAAAAAAACATGGCAGAATTTTCACAATTTGAATGAAGACCAAAAAAAAGAAAGAAAAAAAAAAAAAGATAAGTCATGGAGTAAACATCAACATTGTCATAAACAAGTAAATTGTTGGGACATGAGATGAGAAACCATAGTGTTTTACTATTACTATCAGTGAAATCTCTACTAGTACAAAAGATTTTTTTTTTAATCTTGAAAAACTATCCATAATAACAGTGAAGAGAAAAGGAAATGTATGGTATCAATTTCTAAGCCTAGATTTAAAAGAGAAGAAACCCCTAATCTCACCATTAAATAGTATTGAGAATAATAAATCAAAGTTATAACCAACAATCCAATTTATAAATGTGATTGAAAAACCAAGAGCAAGTAATATGTAATAATGAGCTTTTCTATTCAAAAATTTAAAGGCTTTTATAAGATCATGCAAATAAAAAACTTAAAGGAAGTGGAAGAATTAAAGTGTTTAAGAATACCTTTTGCTAAAGCAATATTTTAAGCAATATATCTACCATAAAAGAAGGTGGATTGGGCAAGATGAATAAATTTTGGAAGAATTTGCCTGTGTATCTGCAATAAGCTTAGAAATGAATTTTTGAATTGTATTGCAAAGAGGTATAGGCTAATAGTCATTAATGGCCTAAGTATGAATATTTTGGAGATAAGAGTGATGGTTGAATGTCTGATGCTCTTAGAAAGCTTTGTTGATGAGAAAAAGAAACACATTGGCATCAGAAAAGCTTCTCCAGCGACATCTCAATTATATCCTTCTCCTATTTAAAGAGTTACAAGCCTTTTTGTTTAACCTAAGATTTTTCATAGGTATTAGCCTGATAAGAGCATTGAGTAATGAAATCCTCTCTAAGGAAATGAAATAGTATTAGGATTTATTCCACTGCTTCAAAGATCCTTCTTTGATCATCTTTAAGAGCAAAAATATTGTTACACATGTAAGACGAAATGTTTCAATTAGAAAACTTAAGAGTCATTTTTCAGTTTTTTTTTCCAGTACTTCAAGCCAATTGTTCCAAGAAGTATCAACAATATCAAAAAATTTCTGATAAAGGTTGCAAGGATTTTTATAAATGAATCTCTGATTAGGTTTATGAAGGGTTTAAGGGTTGCATTCTTGAATAAACCAACTCTTGATATTTTTCAGCTTCATCTACCTCCTCATCTAAGAAACATACTTTTTCCTTAAAAAGAATGGGACATAATTTAGATTAAATCGTAAAGCATTTGGAACACTATATGTAAGCTACATCTTTCAATTTAGAGAACTAAGAAAGAAGGAAGAGGAAGATTATTGAAAAGGACTGAAAGAAAATAGGCATAGCAAAGAAGTTTACTTACCTTGAAGTGGAGGTAAGTCAATGGGATCCATGACACATCAAAAAAATGGGTTTGATCCAAGGCCCCTAAGGGAAAGACAGAGAAATTTGAGCTTAGGAGGATAAGATTGATGAGAAAAAGTGAAGAAAGAACCAAAAAAAATGGAAAAAAATATTAAGGGAAGCTCTTATTGTTAAAGCTCTATGAAAATCCCAATAATAAACTATATTTACGCATAACTTAGCAGCATAAATTTTGGATGGTAAAAATTTGGAATGGAGGTTGCCCAACTTGATCTCATTATTACCAATTTTGGATATTTGATTTCAAATACAACATCATGAATTCATATAGGATCTATTCAGCGCAATTTATCACTATTTTATTTTTTAAGCTGTTGCCATAGATTTTTTTTTAACTGATGTTTTGTTTGCTACTTTCTAGAAAATTTGGTGGTGGGAAAAGCTTATGTTTTCCATTCCTTATTTGTGCATTGCAGCTCTTTCTTGCAGCTATCAAAATTTCCTTTCGAAAATCCTTTAAGATGTAACTATTTTCTTTTCAAATCTGGATTTAAATGTACTTGTATTATGTAAATCAATAGATGTTTATGATTATGCAAGTTTTTTTCGGATGAATAAGGATATCTATATAAATGATATGAAAGACTGTTTTCTTTATTTTTGTTGTTCCTTCTATATGGACTTTAGTGGCTGTGTTTGTTGATAATTGAATTTCTCTAATAAAGATAATAATTTGAGAGGAGTTTATTAATAAAGATTATAAGTTACATGTAACAGGTTTTGCTCTGAACAATACCCAAAACAAAGTCTCCAAAGTGAAGAAATAGACCAACAGGAGAACACATCCCAGCTGACGGGAAAAAAATAATAGTTAGAATAAAGCAAATTCCAGAAGTGCAAAGAAGACAAACCAACCGAAGTTCGCAGAGAATAAAAACTTCATACAGAAGCCGAACAATCAAACTCATGACTCATGACATGAAAAGGCCAATACAGACCCCACATTCGTGTATGATAAACCGAGAACAACACCAGCAATTCCATAAAATACTGGAATCATAATATATAAAGAGTTTATAAAAAAACATCAAAGCTGAGTGACTCCATTAAGAATAGCTCTTAGTAATTCCAACAACTTAAAGGAAGGGTAACCAAAGGAGAGTACAGTGTGAAACAATTGAGACAAAATCAAACCATTGAAACAGAGCAAAAGCCATAGTAAGAAGACATAGAACAAGATACCATCATATAAATTAAAATTGATGTCTGACAAAGTCCACGAATTACAAGAAATCTCAAAGCAAGTGAAGTCTCATTAGATGAGTAAGAAGTAAAGGCATCAGTCAACATCAAAAAGTCAGAACAGTCTCAAAATCTACCAGTAATCTAATCAATTAATCCCCAATTGGGTTTATCCTTGCTTGAACCAAATCACATTCATAAATTCAATCAGGAAGAAAGATATATTATATCAGACAATCGCAAAACAGAACTGTGCTATAGGATGAATCATGTTCTATCAAAGCTAGACGATGCAATATTACAAACTAAGCATAACAAATGCCAAATTCACAAATAAGATTCACTCATATGTCAAGTCGAGTCATTGAGTTCATTGAACCACTATGAGCACATCAAGGAACCGGTTAACCTTAAAGCATCATTTGATTAACTTAGAAATCAATGATTACAATCTTATCATTCGGAACAGTTTAAGAAGATTCTCAATTCAGGCCAACATGAAGTTTCTTGCAATTTTCTTCGTTCAATCGAGTAAATTTCTAGTTTTATCAGCTTCAACTTCATTCATTCCAGTGAAAAGAAATCATACCAGACCTTAGAGCACAAAATAAGTATTTCAAGGACACAAACTTCCTGCTCTATCTGAGTGATGGTATCTTCTCCTTATTCACTCCAGCTGCCTTATCCAAGCAAGTCGGTCGTACTGCCTTGTAGTAGAAGAATGCCATCATCTTCGACCACTCGTCTGCATTCCTTACAACTGTAAAATCAAAGAGAATGTTAGAAACATTAAGAATCACAATCAAATTCTTCCACATGAGCACCAACCTTTATCGCGATGCAGTATCTTTCCAGCTTTCGTGAAGATTATCTCTGGAAAGATGGATACATGCAGAGCTTCCACCAGTTCATCCTCAACAACAGCGTCCACAGCTACACACTACAACCACCAACAAATTAGTGTTGATTTAAAGTTGAAATAAAGTGGCAGCGGCTAATACGTATTGGATGATGGCTTGCTTACTCTAGGAGAAGGAAGCCCAGTCTCCCAAAACAACTTTACAGCCTTCTCCAATTCATCCCTTGCCCTCACATTTTCTTTAGGCCTGCAAAAAGACTAATCATGTTTCTCTTAGCAAATGCATGTCAAAATCTCGTTAGCATTAATTTAACTTATAAATTGCACATAGACAATATGGGCTTCGCAACATTAGCTAAATGCAAATGTAAACGAACACAGGCCATAATTGAAATATGAAACTTCTGACTTTATTAGTTGTAGCTAAAAATATAAGCTTATATTAAAGAATCAAGTCCCGGTCATAGTGCGATAGTATATTTTCAACAATTAAATAAAAAATCTGAAGCCTTAAAGTTGCTAGTTGTTGCTAAAACTTAACCATGTATTCTATAAAAATGTAGAAATGGAAAGAATGATAAACCTCTTGTATCGATTGTGGACTAGAATGATGCAAGGGTTGAAATTCTTGAAGACAGTATCCTCCCATTCCCTGGTGGTTATATCTCTAATAGGCTTGATGTAATCATCGTCCTGCCACACAATCTCCTTCTCGCTGTCGTAGCCTTCATCGTCTTCCTTTCTCACATTCTTAATCCTGATATTATTAAAAAATTGATCAAATTTGAAACCCCATCCATCGGCATCGTCTGGCCAATCAGGGTCATCCTCTTCGGCGACAAGCGGGTAATCTGCAAGCAGCCTCTGCATTTTGATCTTGCGCTGCACGGGATCAATCTCCTCTTCGATAACGGGGTTCGAATCAAGCACCTCCCTAATCTTTCTCCGCATCTCCAATCTCTCTTCTTCAGTCATAAGATAGGGGTCAGCGGCAACTCTGTGATATTTGTTGTTGGGGTCGGCGTCTTCCTCATCAGTATCGCTTTCGCTGCTTTGGAAGAACTTCTTCGATGCATTCAACTTTTTAAGAGGTACATGTGCAGATTGTTAGCTGATTATGAAATGAAAGTATTACAATTCAGCGGAGTCGAGACGGTTACCGGCCTAGGTCTTGAAATGCGAGTTCTGCTGATGTTCAAGGGCAGCAAATGGAAGGTACAGTTTTTCTGATTCTTGGAATGAACAAGCTGTATGGATGATCGAAAAGGAGACGCTTGGAAATCGGTTGTTTCTGTCAGGCAAAGCGTCGAACATCTTAAGAGCAGCGGATGGTTCAGTGCCATTCTGGCCGCACCACGCATGGATGACACAGCAAGCTGATTCTCAACGTTCGAATTCGGATATTGGACGCACTCCATAATCTATGGACGATCTGAATTCAAACCAAGCACCATTTTCCTCCCTGATAAAAATCACTGCCCTGCTGAATGGTGCGGGCGTAAGACTATTATTCTTTGGGTTTGGGTTAGGCAGGTGGGGTCAGATTAATTCATTTAAATGGGTCATATTTGAGTTAATTAAGTCATGTTGATCCATTAAAATGTATATCATTCATTTATGAATTATGTTAGGCAAGTTCTAATTAAGTCGAATTAGGTCAAGCCGATTTGGCCCGGATCAACCCCAAGTTAGACCCATCATGAATTGATTCCCCTACATTCATGAGACTTCGTAACTAAAGTCGTCAATTCACTTAATCTACTCTACTCATTTATAACGAACTTGTCAAACTAACCAAATAACTTGTCTAAAGAGGATGCTTGTAAAAGAATGCCTCCTTTAACTCAGCTTTAATGTGAAACTATAGAAGTCATATAGTAATTCGACAGCTATCATTAATCAAGATTTATTCATTTATACCCTTTATCATTCTATAGATCTCCAACTCAATATCCAACCTTCTAATCCTAACATCAATGTTGCTGCCAAATCCTAGGGTCTTAATCTTTCTAATGTCCATTCTATTTATGTTTCTTGGGTCATTCAAAGTCTAATAACTTTCCCAAGGAGAAGATGAATTAAAATTATTATATGGGGAGCTTCATGACATGCAAAATCAAAATCACATTAAGGAGATCAACATCTCCATGAGCAACTACAACAACCCATTTGATGTCTTTAAAGCCATTATTCTCCACTTTCAAAAGCACTTAAACTCTACTACCTCCAACTATTCTTCCACCAACACTATATAGCCCGAGAAAATTATTCCAAATCATATTATTCCCTTCATCATAACCCCTATCATTGATGAAGTTATAAAAAATACTATTTTTCAAATCCCAATAGTTTGGCCCTCAGTATTAATGATTTCACCTTTGAATTTAGAATTTTTTATGATCATGCGACTGATTACTAACCCACATGTTTGTAATGAAGATGTCCATCGCCTGAATCTGCAAGTTAGTAAGAAACAAGCAAGCAAAATGGCAAGGAGAAAATCAGTGAGGAGATGGAAGCTGCTGTATTACTTAGTAATTCATCCCTCCTCTATCTGCTACAGTAATATAGATATATAAGCCAGGTTAGTTGCAAGGCTATGGCTGAGATCAATAGAGCAGAGATCACTCGGTTGAGGTTAAAAGAGATTCTGTCATATGTTAGAGAATATGGAGGAGGTAGTGTAAAAGTAAGCCGTTTTGTGCATAAGCAGGTATGCTTATCATGTTTACTTATCATCCCCCCTCAAGTTAACAGTTGGTGGTCGAATTGTTAACTTGTCTCGAAGAGTAGCAAAACGAACAGTAGGTAGAGACTTAGTAAAAATATCGGCAGGTTGGTCTTCTATTGAAGTATGATGGACTGAAAGATAGTGTGAGCAGATGCAATCACATATGAAATGTAAATCAATCTCAATGTTCTTAGTTCTAGCATGAAAAATTGGATTATTTGCTATAGAAAGAGCTGATACATTGTCGCAGTATAATTTGGTAGGTGATGTAAGTGACACCTGAAATTCAGTAAGCATGAGATGGAGCAAAATAAGATCGCAAGCAGCTTTTGATAATGCTATATACTCAGCTTTAGTTGAAGAGCGAGCAACTAAAGTTTGTTTTTTGACCATCCATGAGATTAATGTGTCTCTGAGAAAGGCACAATAGTCTGTGATAGAACGACGATCAATTTTATCGGAAGCCCAATCAGAGTCAGCGAAAGCAGTCAATTGTAAATTTTATCCAATAATTGGTAAGCCCAAATGAAGAGAGCCTTAAACATAACCCAACACACGTTTGAGAAGCTAAAAATGGAGTGTGTGAGGTTTATGCAGGTGTTGACACAGATAATTGACAGCAAACTGCAAGTCGGGATGAGTAATAGTTAAATATTGTAGAGAGCCAATAAGTTGGTGATAGAACTCTGGCTGAAAGTAAGAAGTGCTGTCAGCTGCAGCAGTTGGTAATTTGGATGGCAAAGGGGTATGCACCAGTTTACAGTCTGCCATTACTGCTTTGCTGAGAATTTCCTTTGCATAATTGGATTGATTAAGATAAATGGCATACGCAGTGTAGACAGCTTGGAAACCAAGGAATTGATTCAATTTGCCAAGGTTTCTCATTGAGAAATGAGACTGGAGAGCAGTAATTAACTGATCAATTGCTGTTTGGGAATTTCCTGTCAGTAATATGTCGTTAACATACACTAAGATGTATAATTGAATTGTGTCTTGATGAAACAAGAGGAGAGAAGGATCCGCAGTGCTGGTCTTGAAGCCATAGTTAATGAGGTAAGCTGAGAATGTGGCAAACCACTGTCATGGTGATTGTTTAAGACCATAAATAGCTTTGCGTAATAAGCATACATGATGCGGATATTGAGGATCTATAAAACGCGTTGGTTTTTTTATTAATACTGTCTCATGTAGAACTCCATGTAAGAAGGAATTCGAGACATCGAGCTGCACAACCGGCCAGCTATGCATAACTGCAACAGTGAGTAGAATGCGAATAGTGGCAAATTTTGCAACTAGGCTGAAAGTCTCATGGTAATCGAGGCCATGCTTTTGCTTAAATCCTTGCGCTACAAGCCGTGCTTTGTAATGAGCAACAAATCCATCAGAATTATACTTTGTTTTGAATAGCCATTTGCAACCGAGAATGTTTTGATTGGGATTGTATGGTACTAATTCCCAAGTACCTTGCTTTTTTAATGTTTCAAATTCATTGCTCATAGCTTCTCGCTAAACATGATATTTAGAAGCTTGTGTGAAACCTGTAGGTTTGGTTGGTATGACTATAAGCTCAAGGTCAAAAATTTGTTTTGGTTTAAGCTTTCCAATTTGAGCTCTAGTGAGCATTGGGTACTTAGTAGGAGGATCAAGTGGTTGTTGAAAATCTGTCTGGAGCAGGGGAGTGGACTGAGACTCAGTCGCAACAGGAGAGGTTTGTTCTGGTGAGTGTTGAGGTTTAGGAATGTTACTGGTTGATGGTGTTGGAGAATGAAGTGAAGGTTGTCTAATCGAGACATGTATTAAGGTGGATATAGTGTTATGTTGTATAGGTTGAAGTGGTTGGTTTGTATGAGAGGTGAGTATGAAACGGAAAGATATGCTCATGAAAATGAACATGGCTTGAAATGTACAATTTTGAGGTTTTGAAGTCAAAGAAATGTTAGCCTTTGGTATTTTCAGCATATCCGAGAAAGTCACAAGGTTGAGATCGAGGAGATAACTTGTGTGAGAGATGAGTTGGAAGCCATGGATAAGGTAGACATCCAAAAATTCAAAGAGAAGAGTAGTCTGGTGGCCGATGAAAGAGATATTCGTAGGGAGATTTATGATTAAGTGAGGAGGGTAGTCGGTTAACTAAATATACTGCAGTAGTTAGAGCTTCAACCCAAAATTTTTGTGGTAAATTGGCATCAAGAAGTAATGCTCTAACAGTTCAACAATATGACGGTGTTTTCGTTTAGATACCCCATTTTGTTGGGGGTATAAGAACATGTAGTTTGATGCAATATGCTGAAGTTCTTGAGGTGATTTTGAAATATGGTATTGACATATTCCCTACCACTATCAGTTTGAAGAGTTTTAATTGGTTTTTGAAATTGATTTTCAACAAATTTCTTGAACGTTAAAAAATGTTGAACAAACATCTGATTTGAAATGAAGCGGAAAACCCATGTATAGCAGCTAAAATCATCCACAAAAATAACATAATAACGATATGTTTGCATAGAGATAATTGGGGAGGGACCCCATACATCACTATGAATAAGTTCTAAATATTGTGTGGTTATAGTGGAAGATAATAAAAATGGTAAACAACTACATTTTGCTCGGGCACAAGCACTACATTGAGAGGTACGATCAACAGTATGATGATTTGAGAAAATGGTGGGTATGAATTGATGGACTGATGGAGATGGGTGTCCTAGTCGCCGATGCCACACAGAGGATGGATAAGTAGAAGAAGTTAATGATGTTGTAGTTGTATTGGTAGTTTTGTATGCTGGGAAGTGAGAATTAATTGGATAGAGTCCATGATGATTGGGTCCGCGGAGAAGTGTCTTGTTGGTCCGGGAGTCTTTATGATAAAGCCATTAGAATCAAGTAGGATAAAACATGGATTATCAGTGGTAAGTTTATGTAAATAAAGGAGATTATGGGATATGTGTGGAACATGAAGAATTTTGGCTAAATGAAGCTTACTGTGAGGTGTAGGCAACAATCCTTGTCCTGTATTGGCAATTTGAAGTTGTTGTCCATTCCCAACTTGCATATGAGATGCTCTAGTGTATGGTTGAATATGCTGGAGCTGAGATGAATTGGCGGTTAAGTGCTCGATTGCTCCAAAATCCAAAAACCATTCTGCAGTGTTTGGATTGTCTGTGGTAATGTAAGCTTGAGGAGCGCTGTTATACATTGTATCATGCCGATACCAGCAGTTGACGGCCGAATGTCCTGGTTTTCTACAGATTTGACATTCAATACTAGAACATGGTCGTTTGCCTCCTCAGAATAAACCAGGGACACAAGTGCCAGGAGATGATCGACCAGACGAGCTACGTCCAGGAAATGCTTGACCTGGAAATGATCCACGGGCTCTACCACGAGTCCGGCCACGAAACAAACCTCTAGTTGCTGTGAGAGCAAAATTTGAATTGGGAATAGAGGTAGTAATGGATTCACGACTGTTGTCTGCATTCAGGTGAAGTTCTTCACTGCAGAGTAGGGAGTAGAAATCATCAAGTGAGATTGGATTTAGTTGAGTGTGAATCACTGTTTTAAATGACAACTATGTGGCCGACAAGCTATTTAAAGTATAATGTATAATGTCTTCAGCATCTACGGAAGACCCGACAGCAACGATCACATCTACTTTGTTATTAATATCAAAGAGATATTGGAACATGATTTTATCTTCAAGTTGTAATTGATGCAGTTCACCTTTTAGTTAAAGAAGCCTGGAGTGATTAGAAGACTGTAGGCGACGTTCAAGAGTTACCCAAATCTCATGGGTGGAGTTGAGATTTAAAA